ATTATTATTATTATTATTATTATTATTATTATTATTATTATTATTATTATTATTATTATTATTATATTACTATTATTATTATTAATTATTATTATTAGTATTATAATTGATAATAATGAGACATTAATAAATATTGATAGTTTGTTTTATTATCGTTATTATTATTTATATTAATTATTACTAATTGTTTATTTTCCTTTAATAATACTCTTCTATGTTTTAACTTAGAAGATTGATGAGGAAATGATGATAATGATAGTGCTTCAGATGAAGTTAATTCACTTTCAATTGATATTTTAAAAGAAATTTATACGAATGGTATGTTAAGTCGAATTCAAACATTTTTCTATCATTGGATTTAAATATTCCTTCTTCTAGTTTGTTATCTTTGTAGAAAAACTATGACTCACTAATCAGTTCATCTTTTGATATCAAATAAATGAATCAACGCCAAAGAAAGTAAAATTAAGATTTGGAAATTTGCATATTTGAAAATTTTAAAATTACAATTAATATACAAAAAAATAAACTCATAAATTGCGATTGGCTATAATATGGAAGATGACTAAAATGGTACGGAAGCTTCCCGTTATATTATCAGGAAATTTTAATTCTTTTCTATCTTAATCACCTACCAGTATCATCTATTCCTCATTCTTCTAAAATACTTTGCTTAAAAAAGAATTTACAAGTTTGAGTCACATTGAACAAAAAATTTATAGGAATATAAGAAAATGATTTTTTTTTTTTTATCCACGAGCCAAGAAACTCAATCAGATGAAGCTGTAGATTTGTGACAAAACAAAATCTCTGAATCAATCCGTAGTACTCACCAAAAGGTATTTATAGCGATTACTAAAAGAAGTATCGGAAATTGTGATGCCATCTGAAACTCTATCTACTAATAAAAAAGGTAGATAATATGAGAAAATATCTCTACCAACTACAAATATACAACTCCATTCATCACTTTGTGGTATAAATGATCTGATGGGAATAAATTAGAAATAGTTAAAATTAATTAAATAATTGTCTAATAATAAACAGAATAAAAAGGACGAACAAATATATGCTCTAATTATAGTTAAATAAACATATAGCTTCATTAATGTGTTAGTTTCATTAAATGGTAGAGATATATATAAAAATTTTTAAAAACAAAAACTCAAACTGTAACCATTCTTGTTTTATAATTAGCAACAAATGAAATTTGATACATTAAATTACCTAAATTAGAATTGCAAAATTTATCTGGTGAACTTTTAGAGTGGTTTGCATTTTATGCAAATTTTTAAGTTGATATGGATAATCAAAACATTCTTGCAAATACAAAAATTATCTTAACTCTTGGAAAAGTTATAACAGCTATTTCTGGATATGCTATTACATCTAAAAATTATCCAATGATAATGAATTTTGGAGATCAAAGAGGTTAACTTTATGCGGAGTTAATTTGTGTTTTGTAACTCTTAATGATTATGTGATATTAATTAAACGACTTAATTACTCATATTTGAAATGGAAATAAAGAAAAATTTGCAATTCTGTATCACGTTGTGCAAGAAACACATAAGAATACGTGAAAATAATTTTTTTTTTTTACTTTATTTGAAATAATTTCAAAATGAACAAAATATGTCAATTTCGGAATTGACCATTACACCTTTGCAAAATGTAATTAAAAAATAGTTATTCGTAATAATTAAAAGAAAAAAAAAAAGGAAAAAAAAATCGCAAAATTTAATCAATTGCTCACAATTTTTGAAATAAATTTTAAAATGCGGACAATAATTTGTATTCAAGGAAAGATTTTGCAAGATAAATTCAATTATCAATTATCAAATTTTACTTCTTTCATTGCCCACTTTTACGCTTCGCTGATTGATAACCATTTATGGAGTAAAATGAAATTTGATTCTCCAATAATCATTTTTATATGAAAATTTCGGGTTAATTTTTATCGATATATTTACATATTGTTGCTTTACCATTCAATGAAAAACTGAAATTATTGCAAAAATTTATAGATTTAGCATTCGTAGAGTTTAATGTTTACCTTTTTTTTTCATGTATATTAAAAAATTCTTTCTTGATTTCGTTTTTTTCTTTTTACTTCTTTAAATAAAAGCAAAATAACCATAACGGAATATAATCATTTTTCTTTCTTTGTTCAAAAGATATTTTACATTTATTATTGCATATTTAATTAAATTAAATTTTTACATTGAATATTATGCTTTAATTAGAGAAAAGAAAAAGTTGACTTGTTATCTTTGATTTACTTTCACAAACAGTGCTGCTTTTTTTATTGTTAGTATCTTAGTGTCGTACAATCATCGAGAGCTTTTTCTAATATATTATATTTAGATTAAATAATAGTCCCATGTTTAGCAATGAATTTAAGTATAAATTCAAAAAGAAAAACTGGAAATTCAATTTCTGAATTGGGACAGGATTCTGAAATTGACACTTATAAATCGTCAATTCGATAGTTCCTTCTGCTCATTATTAACAGAACTAATCCGAACAATCAGTGATCAACAAATAAGCATTAATTACAACAGCAACGACAATAGTAATAACATATAACTACAATAACAGTAACAACAATGACAATGATAACAATAACAAGAATAACAACAACAACAATGGCAACAACAATAATAACAATAACAATGATAACAACAATAGCAGTAACAATAACAATAACAATAACAACAACAACAACAACAACAATCGCAGCAATAACAATAACAATGACAACAATAAATCATCGATGAAAAAAACTTCGTATTTGCAGATTGCCGATTCGGTGAACGAATTATTGAAAAGAGGATTGGCAGATTTTCCTGGCTGATAGCTTTCTCGTTGGTAGCAATGTTTCGTTTTGTTCCCGAATGCACTCAGCCAACAGCTGAGAATATCAAGGAATTTGTGGATGTCTTCAAAACTATCAAACATTTGGTGGTAATGACCGGCGCCGGAATTTCCACCGAATCCGGCATTCCGGATTATCGTTCACCTAAAGTTGGCCAATATGCACGTACCAATCATCGTCCAGTGTTGCACGGCGATTTTATGCAATCATTAGCTGTCCGGAAGCGTTATTGGACACGAAATTATGTCGCATGGCCACGATTTTCTGCTTCACAACCCAATGAAACACATCAAACGATCGCCAATTGGGAGAAAAGTGAACGATTCACGTGGCTTATCACGCAAAACGTCGACGGATTACATACGGCAGCTGGATCTAAAATGTTAACTGAATTGCATGGTTGCAGTCGACGTGTTATTTGTATGAATTGTCATTCATTATACAATCGTCAAACAGTACAAGAATGGATTCAGATGGAAAATCCAAATTGGTGTATAGAAGAGATTGGAGAATTAGCACCGGATGGTGATTGCGATATTTCGGATAAAGCTGTGAACAATTTCAATCTTCCAACATGTCCAAAATGTGGTCCTGAATCGATTCTGAAAACGGATGTTGTCTTTTTTGGTGGATTCATTGCTCCAGAAATTCACAATAAATGTTATAATATGGTGCAAAATTGTGATGGTATGCTGGTACTTGGTTCCTCGCTTACTGTCCTTTCTGGTTATCGTTATGTTGAGCAAGCATATAAACAGTCTGCGCCAATTTTAATTGTTAATATTGGTCCAACTGCTGCTGATGAATTAGCCACCGTAAAAATATCCGCTAAATGTTCCGATATCATAAGACATGTTCCAGATTTGTAAAACTTTTTTCTGGGAGAAAAAAAAAGTGATTAGGTTCAAAATTTTGTTACAGAAAATCAGTTAGTTTTAAAATTGTTTCCCAGTAATACAATTAGTTTCAAGATTATCTTCCAAAAGAAATGGTAGTTTTAGAATTAATATACCAATTTTTAAATGATTTAGCATTTGATATATGGATGTATATATTTGATGGAAGTTATGTAATTTACTTAACAAATAATTTTTTAATTTGATTAAATAACGAAAGATAAACATGTTCCTTCGTGCACATTAATTCATGCCTTACATCGATTCAAAAGTTTTTATGTTGTATTTCCAGAAAACTCATTTTTGAAAACTTGTAGCAATAATTTGAAAAAGTGAAGAATTCCCCATAAGTTTGAAGTGAAAATATAATTCACATGAAGCTCAATTTCGAAATTTTTTTTTCTAGATTAGGAATTATAAAATATATCCGTTGATGGTATATAGTATGGATGAAATACAGTAATGTTTTGTAATAATTTTACCGACATACTAGATGTAGCCTACGATCATGAGTAAGTAGTAATTTGCACTTGTAGTCACGAAGAACTCCATAATGTTTAGCCAGCACGAAATAACATATCCAATTATTTCAGATCTTTTCATCTGATTAATAGGCTTAACCGACTACAGATTACCACAGTGGTCCCAACCATTTCTTATCATTGTATGCTGATTAGTTGAACCTCGTCACTTAAATCATATAAACATCCAAGCATTCTATAGTGTTTAATTTAGATAATTCTTCTATGGCATTCGAGTACTGCGTTCTTATTCATCAGTTAGTGCGTTATTAGGAACGCACTAAGATGAAAAAGTAAATGTGTCAAAATGAATTTGTTAAGTTTCAAATAGTTTTATCATCAGTGTTTGTATAATAAGAGCAACTGATTTTATTTGTCCCACCAAAGAGCTTTCAACAGCAAACAAAAAGATATTAAAAGAACTATCACACTGCGCGAACCATAAAAATCTATTAACATGAATTTTCCACTATTTCTTTCTGGATTTGCTTTTTCCCTGCAAAAAAAAAGGAAAGCAGTAGATAAAAGAAACACGAAAATATAAAGAAAAGAGTAGTTTAAAGGTGAGGTGCATATGGTAAAATATGCAAAGTACAATAAAATTAGTAATAACAAAATAGCGCAATTACAATTTGAGGGTGACCTTTTATACTTTTATCCAGCGAAGTTTAAAAACTCAGTTCCAGTTTCTACCGTGAAAAAAATTTTGGGGACCTACTATATTCGGAAGACACATAAAACATCAAGCAATTAATCGTCTTACCTTCTTTCCTTTTGCACCAGCATGATTTGGTTTTTTACTAAATTTCCTGTTCTTTCCCACTTTCCTGCGTTTTCCACCAGCACTACCACCTGCTGTATTGTCACCACCTTTTTCAGTGTTTTTCACTGCCATATAACTACCGAAATGCAGCAGCTCATCTAGGATATTCTGTCGATCTTGGATCCTTTTATTGTGCTTCTCTTTCTTCGTCATTTGCAAACGGATAAAATAGTCCTCTTCATATCTGAAATGAACACAAAAAGAAATTTATGAAACTATAGATGAATATAAATGCTGTAAAATACATAAGGCTAAGCCTCCATAACTAATGACGGTTCCAACACCGTACAGATGAATTCGAGCACTTTCAAAATTTGATTTTTTGAAAGCAAGAAGTCGAAGATTCTTGATAAATTCATAAACAGATAGCAAATACTCACTTTTGCTTTTCAACATCTTCCTGCTTCTTCCTTCTTACTATACTGTCATCCTGAAAATATTAAAGGTTTATAGGTACTTGAAATAATTTTGAGTTGATATATTCTCTTTTTATTTTGTGATAGCGTTTTTCTGATCTCCTGAGTGCCCTTCTAAGTTCTAGGATGAAAAGTAAGAAAAGTTTCAGTACTTTCAGATGTACTTCATAAAATACTGAAATACTGAGAGACAATCAGCACTTCAAACAATTTCATCCTTTATCAAGTGATACCCTTTTAATGATGCAAAGAGTGACAAAAAGATACACTAAGTCATACACTAAGAAGTTTTAGGTACTTGAAATAATCTTCAATTTACCATCAATTTATACTCAAATTGAAATTTTTAGATTAAAAGCTACTAGATACTATTATTACTTGGAACTCTTCCGGAGCCTCACTATACTGTGCTCGCAAATCTTGTATCAAGCTACTCTGCAATGCTCGCCGTCTTGCTCGCTCCATTTTTCGTTCTTCCACTTCTTCTTCATCTTCTGTAAACTGGTTTTTTTTTTTTTGTTTTCAAAATGGTAATGAATTTAATCATTCATATGAAATGAAAACGTCTCTGCACTACCAGTAAACCAAAGTAGCAATCAAAATTTTTGTTTTAAGTTTCTTTCAATTCATAAAATGTTAAGAAAAAGAATTAAAGAATCCTCTGAAGAAAAAAGTGACAAACATCACTACCATTATAATGTACTGCCATAAGTTTCGGTGGAACATATTTTTAGGTTTCGTTTCCTTGGAAGCATCTTCATCACTGCTATTTTCCGATTCCAACTCTTCACTTTCATCATCCACTTTCAGCTGTTCTGGATGTGGTCGTAATGTCTGCAAGAAAACAATTACCTATACTATAGTAATACTTGAAATTCCTATTAAATCATTTAGGCACACCGGTAGCGTGAAAAAATGATTCTACTGAACTTGATGCCTAGAACAATTATGGCCTAGTCCAGGGTATATCCAAATTCTAGGAAAAGAAAAAAAAACAAATATTTACTTTCACATCATTACTTGTCCCATCGGAAGCAAGTAAAATTAGTTTTTCAACGTGACTTTTCATTCTGTATTCAATGGGACGCATTCGTTCCAAAACCTGCAATTGTGCCGCTAAATTTCGAAAATCTCGCTTGAATTTTTAAAATTCCCAGTGATTTCAGAAAAATTCTCAATTTATAACTGCAACAAATTTATTTAAAAAAAAAAACGAAACTCAAGAATTTACCGTTCTCAAATAAACCAAGCGTTCAATAGCCGGATCACCCTGTATACTATTTCCAATACACATTTGATACATCAAATATACCAAATCACGTGTATATGCAAGCAAATCACGATTTTTCACTTCGTAAAACGATATTCCCTGTGTGGAAAAATCAACAAATATGACAAATCAATGAAAAATCAATAAATGGGATGCAATAAACTGAAGATTATACAAAGAAATCATTAGAAATACGATAAATTGAAAAAGTAGGAAAAAAATTAACCAGCTGAAAAAGAGGAAAACATAAATTTCTCTCTTTGAAAACTTCTAATTGATGTAACTTGATCGGAAAATTTTTTGGAAGATAATCTAGACTAGAAATGAGTGGAAAATAGATGATGGACCCAAAGAAGGAAACTTGACTGAATTAATAGTGAAATGGATAAATGCTTTCAAAATAATGCCTACATCCCGTTCTTTTTCTTTTTGAAGTTGAATACAGAATTCCTTAGCCGTATTTAACAATTCCGTTGATGTTTTCATGCAATCGGTAACAATACTCGCGTAACGTTGCTGTTCTTCCGACATTCCCGAGAATTGACTGAAGAAATGTCTGAGATGATAATGTGACAAAATTTCTTCCAATATTCACAATTAACGCAACTTTGAAGAATGAATAACGTTTGGCTAATTAATTACTTCCGTTATTTTGAACAAAGAATAATAAAAAGTCCGTTATATGTCTCAGCGACGTTCTGCATGATAAATGCTGTACTACTTATAATTAATTGCCATTGGTACAATGTGTTCAAGAACTGTCCCATTGAATCTGTTACTTGCAATCTGATAAAATTTAAAAGGATCAGAAAGAAACAAGAATTCGACAAAATTGTTTTGATATCAAGTTCAAAAATCTGAAAATGTAAATGACCAAAAACCACTTCGTATACTTCATAAAATCATAGCTCGTATGAAAATGCCGGTGAAAATGTCGGTGTTACTAATAAATTACCCAGTTTGTCCTTCTCTGAATATCGCTAGTGACTGCATAAACAACTTTTAAATAATTATAAATGTCTTTCAAATAAACAGATAAAATCATCCGAAGTAGACAGATAACTTCACTTCCATAATATTTCTGAATCTAACTAATGTTTTGCCCAAAGCGCAACGAATAAAACAGCACTAAGCGCAAATGTACCTGTAGCAGAAAAATAATATGACTATTCTATGCATCTTATTGCAATTCAAGGATACATGCTAATAAGCAGCATTTGTGACAAAATAATCACAACAGCTTAAAATTGAAATACCATTAGTAAAACAAAAGCAACAAATTACTATCACTTCGTTCCTCCGACCTGTAAAATTAGAAACACCAGAAATAAACCAAAATCAAAATTTTATCGAATTCATTCTCAGAGGTATAGCGCAGTTGCAAGTCCCAACAACATTTTTTTTTTTTGTTTTTCATTTCGAGAATCAACACCCTCCAGCTCACGAATGATGGGTTTAAGGTTTAAAAAAAAAAGAAAAAGAAAAAAAAAACAAAATAAAACGAAACAAATAAACATGACTAGTTAATACGATAGTTTCAACGGATTTAGCAAATTTCGGCTCTTTAGAAATAGGAATTTTCACACCATCTACAACCGACGCCGCACCTCATTATCAAAGCACTCCTTGTTCGGCAAGCAACTGCATAGCCATCAAGGATGTGTTACAGTGAAATACGCAGATATTCCGGTATCCCAACCAGTTATTAATTAAATTATATCCAACGTAATCAGAAGCTATGTGCTGTGGCTACACCCCGGTTCCTCGCTACTCATTCTTGTTTCATTCTTTCCCTCATTCGCACTCGACTTTGCCCTGCTACCGGTTGCATAAGCAACAAACATTTCCTTTAGAAATGACAATTCTTTCTGAAGTCCTTCAACCTACAATAAGATCGTAACGTTGCAAAGATG